AAAAAAAATCAATTTTTTATTTTTTTATTTTATATATTTTTTGCCGGTTCGGTTTGGTTTCAAACCATAATTAAAATTCTCAAACCTAAACCAAACCGTTTTTGACCGGTTTGGTTTGGTTCAAAGTCATTTCGTTGACGGGTCCACGTGGCACCAAACGGACGCTTTCTAAAATGTAGTTTCGGTTTAGCGGTTTTTGCTTACAGTCCTAAACAGAAGTACTCGTAGATTCCAATCCGAGTTAGCAGAGCATAGCTTCTAGATTAATACACACGAATACAAAAACTGACTATCAAAGACAAAAAGAAGGTAGGATGGGTAATTCTTCACGGGCAGAGAGAGATTGTTGTCAGCTTAGTAAGGTCGAGTGACATCTTATGTTCAATGCATTTGGATATAGCCAAATAAATAGAATTCGACAAGCAATGCAGAAATGTAGAATCACACAATGATCAGTCTCCACACACGACAAACATTTAAGACGCCAGCCACTTCACATCCACTCATCGGCCCAAGCGCGAGGGAATGCTAGCCGTTTGATACAAGAATGTGAAATGGTTATGCAAATCTTCTCAAGAACTTTAAAGTACGGACGTAAATTTAACAAAAACACGACCCAAAGTATATAAAGATTCACCTCCATTACATCAAAGCATTACATTATTAATAGAATGTCGAAAAAGGAAACTAGAAACCCAATATACTAGTTTACCCTACCCATTATTTATGGACTCACAGGATTAATATGTAGTTAAGGCAGGATATCACTTGGCCATCATAATCTTGACAAACTCTTCATAATTGATTTGTCCGTCACCATCAACATCGGCCTCTCTAATCATCTCATCAACTTCCTCATCTGTCAGTTTCTCGCCAAGGTTCGTCATGACGTGGCGCAGCTCGGCAGCGGAGATGAACCCGTTCTGGTCCTTGTCAAAAACACGGAATGCTTCCTTCAGTTCCTCTTCAGAGTCGGTGTCCCTCATCTTCCTGGCCATAAGGTTTAAAAATTCTGGGAAATCAATGGTTCCATTGCCGTCAGCGTCCACCTCGTTAATCATATCCTGGAGCTCGGCCTCTGTTGGATTCTGCCCCAGAGATCTCATTACGGTTCCTAACTCCTTGGTCGTAATGCAACCTGCGCAAAATTTTTGTTATAAAACTAATTACATAAAATGGAGATCTCTTAATCAGGCATACGACCAAGTCTCCATTTATCCATGATATGATTCAAGCAACCGATGCAATAAACTGATCAAAAACATTTATAAACCTCATTTGTAACAATCTTACACAACACAAAAATCAACTTTTCAATTAATGTTCATTAGCAAATTACATCCTTTCACCAATGAAATTACTCTGTGATTTGTTAAGAACTAGGAGATCAACAATAGTCCAATATTATCTTCAATTCACAGCATAAAGATAGAATTTCGAGGATTCATAAACTTCTAACAGGGATAACAAATAACCGGTCCAGGACAGCAAGCAAGAGGCTGTCACTCCGTAAACAGTAAGAATCATTTATTTCTCACTTTGACACAACTGGATAATCTATTCTTTTTTTGAGTAGAGACGAAGAGCATGTGCTAACCCCAATGTCAATAAGGGATTTCACATGTCCCATGCTACTCGAATCAGCAGCACCATTTTTTCGAAAAAAAATGCATTTTGAATAGTGTTTTGATCTCATTTCAATCGCACATTCTTCAATAAAATAATATTACACGTAAATCTAAAACTTTTCTTTATTTTTTAACCACACATTTCTTATCAATACACTATTCAAAAATGCATTTTATTGACAAAAATGGGGCTCAAACACGTGTAAACCTATCGAAACTATTATTATCTGGCAGCAATTTCTCCTTATCACACATCCATAGATCCAGCTACAGCGTTTACTTCATTTTCGAAGTTCCCATGTTATTCAAACAAATTCTGGGCTCAAGCATTATCCCATCACAGTTATCATCATCATTTTCATTTTCCAACGAAACTGAAGATCAGAATAAGAACCATTGTTCCGAATCAAAGATCAACAATCCTATAGCCCCCTTCATTTTCTAATGCAAAAGTCAAGACTTACTTTCAAGAAAAAGTAAAATTTCGTTAGTAAAAAAAGTAACTGTGGAAATCACATTTCAAAAAATAAGTAATTACATTTAAGCACAGCCAAACATGGCCCGTGTACATCTCACTATTCAAAAGAGCAACTGAAATCAACCCATGGAAAAGCAGCATACCGATTTAAGTGTAGTCGCTCTTCTAAGGTTTCAGGACAAAAATAGAGGCGGTTTCGAGTGCTTAGGTGCCAATTTCGGGCGAGGTAATGCGAATTGATCATTCTTAGTGTTGGATTGCGGAAGCAGAATTACTCAAAAAAATTTTAAAAAAATTAATTCAATAAACAAGATCGTCTAGATGTTCACGTGTACGATATATCAAGAATGAATGATTCAAATTTTTACCTAAATTCGATGATTAATTCTTGAATAGATTTTGAATCACGAACTTCTAGCCTTTTGGATCACGAGCTTCCAGCTTTTTAATTCTAAGATAAGAACTTGAAGCTCCAAATCTCCAAGTCTTCTATGATATTCTCCAAAGTCAAGATTACACCGGTGGATAGACACATTCTTTTAATTAAATCAAGAAACTAATTATTGGACCGGACAATAAGAAAAATAATTTCTCACTTTTTCTTTCTCTCCAATTTGAACACCATTGAATTATTATTATGATTGTTCTAGAATTTCTCTGTCCATTTAGTCTCTAATTATAGAGATGAAAATATTTCAATCCATGTACAATAATAATTCAAATTTCAAATAGAAGTCTTAATTAAAATCCAAATAGGAGTTTTAATTAATTAATATCTGATTTTTGAATTTTTAAATATTTTTTCTTAGTTTTGAAATGGAACATAGTTAATGTCTTAGATATGAAATTTTCCTTTTAAATAAAGTCCAAATCCAATTAGTTTACCTCTAAAATTACATGTGTAATCTTATATTAGAACTTCAATTACAATTATAATTAAGTTTACAACTTTCATATCAATTACAATTAAGACTTTATTATAATTACTATTAAGCATAAAACTTTTATTATAATTATAATTAAATTCTAATACTTTATAGAGCTACCACATGGACCTGATCGGTCATATATTGTCTAAATTCGAATAATTAGATCACGTCTAGTCAATCCTAAACCACCCAATTTAATTATTAGTCTTTGTCTTTTCCATTAAAGGTAAAAGACTGAACTCTCGTAATATATAAGATCACAGAAGCAAATAAATTTGTATTACTTTCCTCTGACTTACCGTTTATGTATTTTATCCCTATCCGAAATTCGATAATTATGTACGAGCATAAATAACTCTTTTGCCCCTCTAATTTCTCATTAACTTAAGCACCATTTTTCTTCAACGATCCTGTAAACTAATCACAGAAGTCGAAGTTTAGTCGTCGCTAAATACTGAGTTCAGATTTAACCGTTCAATAGAAAATATTTAAATAGTTGCTCTACCTATTTTTCAGGGCTTCGGTTCTCGACATGAATTCATGTTCTCTACTTCGCTCATTCTCAAGTTCACAACTCACTGAAATATTTGATTAATCGAATTAATGTCACCCATTGGTCAATGAAAGAATCACTAAAATCATGAAAAAACATATATAACCATGTCAAGGGATTTAGATGAAATATACAGCGATCAAATAGAATTTAATTCTCCACAGTCATGCTATAGAATTAAACTCGACACGTGGTCCGTTCAATACATTCCAAGTGTACTAGTGTCATTTTTAATTATTTTTGTGATAAAGACAAATCACAAACCAGTATAGAGAATCGGTCTACACTACAACCTTTCAGTACAAGATGACCCTTGTACATTGGCTTTTAACAAATTATTTATGATCAAAATATAAGCTGTGTCATACTGTACTTCACAGCGTAAGTACCTAACTTATTATCACAGGTTATTATAAGGCACTTTATCGCATGCTCAATAATAAATAAATGCAACAAATAAATAAAACTACAATTTATTGATTATAAATTTTTTTTTTATAACCGTGGATATTTGGGCTAGCTTACGTGCACCTCAACTAATCTTACGGGGCTTGAAGTTTACGGTCGGGCACTCATCTCAATGGTTTTGAGGGGATTTGAACCCGTGACCATTGGGAAAATTTATTGATTATAAATTATTATTTTATCGTAGAAAAATATACCATATTTGCACACAACCCAATACTTAGTTGTTGAAACGAACTAAAATCAAACAACTCCTTCGAAAATTCGTATCCTTGACCTCAAAAGTAAAACTTCACATTACACAACAAGAGTAGCTACTTCAAACCCGCAGCAATTTTTTCTTAAACAATCAACGAAACGAACAAGTCCCATATAGAGATAAAAGTAAACCATATTCAAAAACCAAACAAAATCACAAAAAAAAAAAAAAAAAACGTAGGGGTGAAATGATAAAAAATGGAGAAAATTTTGAAGAAAGATCAAACCATCGCCATCCTTGTCAAATAGGCTGAATGCCTCCTTGAATTCAGAGATCTGATCCTCCGTCAACTGCTCAGCCATTTCTTCTTCTCGATTCTTTACTCTGTTGATTGCCGAAGAAAGTAGAGAGAAAAGAGAGATTTTTCTTTAAATTGGTTACCTGATTGGCTGGCTGGATTTTGGAAAAACCAAGTTAGCTTAATACAAAAGCAGAATAAAAGGTACAAACTATTCGTCCCACGTGTTAATTATGTGACATTCAATAATAAATTCATTTAAATATAAAATCAAATAATTTATTTAGTTCGATGTATCTCATCTAAATTGATGCTCTAATATCACTGATGTTAAATGACATTATTCCCACGACATCCCTTCGCATGAAATGGCCAATAATGTAAGAAAAATACTATTCATCTCCAGTGGAGATGCATTCTCAGTCTATGTGGATGTAAATGATTGGTTAAATAATAGGTGAAATTAAATGACTTATTTAATTTTATCTATCATTTAATGCCACATTAACGTCACATAGATTGGGAATGTAATATAGATTGGGGATGAATAGCATTACTCATAATGTAAGAGTATTGTAGGAATGAATGGCCGCCATGGATGTGACGTGGATTCTATTATTTGTCCTATTTGAATTGAATGGAATATTTCTGAATTTTGTGCTTTTCCCTTTCCCTTTTCCTTATTTTCATGGTTATTCACTTTTCTTTTAATTTTGGCCTCTTATGGTAAAATTCTTTAATCCCGAATCCCAAATAGTAAACGGGATGTAGAGAGAACAGAGTCATGTCTTGCTTCATAAAAATTGTCAAAGGAGCAAGAACGGAAATGACTATCATATCCCCTCCTTCCGAATAGTAAATAGAACAAAAACATATAATATAAATCATGCCTTGCTTCACGAAAATTTTAGGTAAGAGTTTAGAAAGAGAATGACTGCCATGTTGCCATCACTGAGAATAATGCTTGATATGAAATTCGATAGGATCCTTTACTTACTTGTTGATTAATCGAAAGCGTGTTATTTGTTCAATTTTATAAATAATTGGGGCATAATCATAATAACTTCAACCAAGTATTGAAAATCATAAGGGGATATATTCAATTGAGACTTTTTTTAAGTGATGATTTCTGTGGATTTCATGGATTTTTTAGAATTCAAAAAACTTTTGAAAATTTTTGTTTGAGATAGAATTTATGTGGATCCAGTACAATTATCACATACCAGACGGTGGTTCTTTCAATTTACCTTCTCC